TGGGCTCTCAGGGACACTGCCAAGCAACCCAGACAGGGCCCAGATTCATGCAGGAGCACGTTTGCAATGGTGTCCCAGCTTTTCCCAGAGATCAGGGAAAGGCCATGCTGCTCCAACAGCAGTGGCTAGGGAAGACTGGAGGAGGAACTGAAAAGGATCAGAAGACTGAAAAGTCTGAAGAGCAGTGAAGGACTAAGCAAGAAGGCTGAGGCAAGATGTAGAACTAGGAAGGAATTGGAAAGGACTATTTAGAACCATGAAGCCAGAGGGAACAAGTAGAAGCATCTCTCCTAATTCAAGACCCTAAAAATGAAGCCAAGATCCCCCTATCTCCCTGTCCTGTGCTCTCTGGAGATCACAAGGACTGGCTGAAGGCCCTGCACTCAGTGGTCCAATTACATGCTATTGCTCTTAGCTACAATTATTGAATTAAAATCTATTTTCCATGTAGAAAATTGGAAGGAAAGGCTTCAAGTATGGGAAAAATATTTAAGAAACAGGGAAGAATGTCCTAAACACCAGAGGCGGCCTTATTATTAAATTGGAAGCTTTACTTATTAGCTGTAGCTGTGCACTGTTGTTGGTGTCCTCACACACATTTACACCCAGGGAACAGCTTTACGCCACTTACAGCAGTGCCCAGATAACATTCACTGCCTCAAAATAGCACGATAAGGGCTGCTAGGAGCCTTTTATCAAGGACATTCCTGGGAAAATAGCACAATTACAAGCTTTGGGACAAACGTAAGGAGCAGTGGGAAAAGTTTCATGAACAGGCAGGGATAAAGGTGGCTGCAGTGGTGAAATGCCAAATACCTCAACAGCTACGATACATCTTTCACTCTCCCTGCCATTACTACTCATTAAGAAAAACCATAACCAATGTAAAACCTAAGGCTTAATTTGAAAACAGGGAAGAAAAACTGTTTTCTCTTAAATACAGTAAGTCAACAGAATTGGATGGGGCTCAGCAGGCTTCAGGCCCCAGCAATTGGTTGAGTAAGACTCCAGGACCCTTCTAACAAAATTGCCTTCAATTGTCTTCAAAGACTGTTTCTAGTACCAGTGTAATCACTTGAGGTGAATCAGGCACATCAACTGTGAGAGGCCCAGCTCTGTTCCTTCTCTTTGCCATTTGCAGTACAAGCAGAGTGGTGGCCATGCCCTGGTCCTGGACGAAGCTCTAGGCAGCAGCACAAGAGGTGCCCTGTTGAGCATTCCTCCCAGGGTCTTCACTTTCCCATTCTCACTTTTGACCCTTGGCTACCTTTTCCCCCCTTGTTTTATTCATTGCCCTTTCTTGCTTGTTTTCTCCCAGGATCCTTTTCCCATAGAGGCTCTTATGGCTTGGTCAGGGAGAGGTGACAGAAGTGGTGGAAGAAAAGTTTTTGAAGAAAGGAGAAGAGCAAGAGTCATCTTTATAGAACCGGATGCAGGCCATACATGTGGTCCCCACAGCAGACATCTTAATTAACATTTGATATATTTGATTGATTTACTTGGTCCCAATTAGGCACTGCTTAAAATTCATTTATGTAAGACAATCCAAAGGCCAGTCACTGAAGAGCTGATCCAACAAAACACAGAATTGTTCCCAAAAGTGTCCATGCAGTAAACCAGTGAGCAGCCAGGAGGGTATTCCCTGTGCTACCTGCAAATGGGAGGACAAGTCAGGCCCCTTGAGGCACACCTGTAAATCCAGCATCACTTTTCCTGCACCCCATCATACACACTCAGCTCTCCGTGTTCACATTGAGAACCAGGCTCAGACAAAGCAATCCTTAATAAATACCAGATCACAAAACCTCCAAACCTCACTCAACACAATTGCACTTGCTGTTGCTTGCCAGAAACTACTGCCCACTAGCCAAGGGCAGGAATAAAGGCACTGTGCTCCATCCAACACTGAGCTCCAAACCACCCCATTCTTTTGTAGCTTTATCTGACATTTTTAAGTAGGAACCAGTCTGTAACGCCCTTTTGGGAAAACAGTGAGGAGAATAAGGATCTAGGTGCTGGTTCCACAGAGAAGGAAGGAAAAGTTGAGTTTGGCTGCTAGTCAGTAATGCACATGCAAAAGAGACAGGACATGGCTTGGGGTATCTGGGTAGGAGCATGAACTTAGCCCCTGAGGGACCGTCTGGGTGGCAAGGAGCCCAGAACCGCCACCCATCGTGGCCCTGTTTTCCATTACCTCAGCCCACACACACTCCCACCCCTCCTGCCAGCCATGCCTGAGTTGCTTCTCTCCAAAGGCTTCAACAATTGCTGAGCACAGGGCAAAGAGCCTTGCACTCATCACAGCCCCTGGACTCTAAAAAACCATTCTGGCAGGTTTGCTGGATCACAGGAGCAAAGAGAACCCCAGGACAGACCTAAGGCGGCTACAAACATTTCTCTTGAACACCCTTAGGAATTAGGCACAGACTGAGAGCTCCTAACAGGATGGTGCCCTTCTGTTATCACCTCTTCTGGAGTGAGATGCCAAGAGAGATCTGTATGGAGCAGCTCTATCTGCAGCACAGTCACACACCCCCACTCAGCTGGGTGGCCTCCCCTTTGTCCTGCACAGGGGGACACCAGCTACCTGTTCACTGTAGGGAATGAAACACTTGCAGAAGGAAATGAAATATGAAAAGAGCTGGAACAGACAGGATCTGCAACAGGAACGGCAGCAGTAGGGGCAATTCATGTACAAAGGAAAGGTGAAGGCATCACTACCTGGAGAGGCATTTCATCATCCTGTAAAGTTTTTCCCCATCACAGTGTTAGGAAATAGCAATGCATCTGGCTGCAGAGCTCCATGCTCTCAAGTAAGCCATCCTCAAGGACCAGGATCACACAGAGGCTCAGAACCCTCAACACAGCTATCAAAACACTACAGCTTTGTTGCCATCATTACCATGGCAAGAACATGTTTCAACTACAGAAAGTCAAAAGCAGTACTTCAAAAACCCACATCTGTTACTTGTCTTTTCTCTTCAACAGGTATTTTCACATCTGAGCTTATTTTAAGATCAAACTTTGAGGCTCTGTTCAAAGTGAAAGAACTGGCAGCTGCATGTGAATATCCAAGAGGATACAGCTGCATCCAGAGTCACCAGATAGCCAGTCACAAAAGGAGCCAGGGTTTGGAGATGTGACCAGCACAACAGCAGAGGCAGGGAAAGGCCCCACAGCCAGAAGTGGGGCAGTGACCACCCCTCACTACTCCATGAACTGGCAGAGAACAGTGTGGGATCTAACCAGGGCCATGTGAAATTATTGTTATGCCACGAGGGTGCCTCAAAGATGCCTCATGAGGTTCAACAGCAGCTGACAACGACTTGACCTACACTATACCCCAGCATCAGCAGGCTCTGCCTTTTCCCTGCAATGCTTCTGCAGAGCATGGCTGCACCCCAGACCTGCTCTGGTCAGTCACCTACTGACAGACAACACCCTGGCTTTTCTTAAAACTAGCAATAATCAGAGTATTTTACTGGCTAGTAATTTCTTGCTGAAATTACTGCACAATTTTCACTTCTTTCAGCCAAAATTGAGGGCAATTTTGCTTAAATAAGCCTGTCTGTGCCATTAGCCCTGTTTCACCAGGGAAATCTGCTCTCACTTGTGAATGACATCATCTATTGACATAACCCCACCAAAACAGGCATTTCAAACTGTTATACTCTGCCATTTCACATGCTGCAATTATACTCAAGCTTAAATGAAACTTTGACACAAGACTTGCACAGTTTTGCTCGTCTACCATGCACTTCCCTTGGCTCTATTTTCCCCAAAAGAGCTATTTGCACTGCTTTCCATTTCACCCAGCATCTCAACTATAGGAACTAAGGGTTTTGTAACAGCAAGCATAAAAAATAAATTCAGTGGCAAACCAAATTGTCTATCCTAACTTAACAACTTGTAAAGAATGCTCAGTAAGACAGACCCCATGCCCAATCAGCACAACCTAGCGTGTGTTCACCACATGTCTTGCAAAGCCACTTGCTGCAGGACCTAAGTGTCCCAAGTCCTTCAAGTGGGGAAAACTCAACCTGCTTTACTCAAGTTAGGGGGTGTTCTGCTATGAGAACACAAGTCAGTTAATTCCCAAACACAGCAAGGATTAAAGCAGAGTTTGATAGTTACCATTCAAGTGTTTGAATGTTTTCTGAGTATTCTTCCAGTCTCCATGTCTGCAGTTACTGGACACAAGGTGGAACAGTCATGCATTGGAAGTGACAGCAGACAGGAGCCTTGACGAGTCTCATCCTCATGGCACAGACATCCATGCTTCCCTTCACCTGAAAGCCCTTACAAACATTGATGTTTTTACTTCATGTAACAAGAATGGCCCAAAATTTTAACTCTGGCTCTGAGCATCATGTGTAGGCCAGAGGACCAGAGAGGACTTCCTGCTCATCTAAGCTTTTGGATTTCTTGGAGATCAGTCTCAGCATTCCCAGGAATTTATCCACAGGCTCTGAACTCACTCAGTGAGCTCTCTAGGCACACCCTACAGCATTCAAGCTAATTCTTCTCTCCACAAAATCCTCACAGGAGTCATTATGGGAGGCAGCCTCAGACTCTGCAGCTCCTCAGAGGAACAGCACAGCCAGCAAATCCCAGATAAAAGTATTGCATTTTACAAGCAGAGTTCCAGGCCCTATAAACCCAGTAGTTAGAGAGAAACCATAAACCCAAGTGCAGTGAAGCAGGTCAGAAACTGAGATGCAGGAAGGGCTGTTTTAGGCAATTATGCAATTAGCGGTCACTTTCAGACAAGAATAAAGCCCCACTTGCCACTTCAGTCTTCTTCCCAATCATCTGCTCCATAGCTCCAAAGCTCATGGAACTGGAGTTGTTTTTGAAGCTGACAACACTCAATAGTTTGTGTACTTGCTAAAGAGAAGCAGCTAAAATACTCAAAGGTAGTTCCTCAGAGAACTTTCAAGCCCAATTATCTCTGGGTTCAGTATGCAGATTCCCCTCATCCATAAAAAAAGAAACAATAGTACTGTATCAAAATACTAAATTTTATTTTTTCACATACATTTAGTCTCCCCACCGTTTCCATTTGTCTGACCACCACCATGCCTTATCAAAACATTCCATACATACTTAAAATGAAGCTGAGGGTGGAGTCCTGTCTTTAAAAACTAAACAGGCATTTTGGACAACACATTCTTGGCAAGGTAATCTGGATGACATTTATCAGACACAGGAGGAAAAGCTCTTTCAGTATTTGTAAAAAGAACAGCCAAATAATGGTTACAGAAGTAAGATTGCAGATTTTAACGAACTGTTTAAACTGTTTTCTTTTCTTACAGAGTCTGTCTCCACTGCCAGAGAGCTTGAATGACCTGGAAGTGTACACAGAAAGTTAGAAATTGAAATCCATTTTTAAAAATTATTTTTAGCTTACTATCACCACTGAATTTCATAAAATACTGACAAGAAATTGTAACAAAAGTACATTCCTTTCAGAGAAAATCAAGTTGAAAGCATGACATTGGATCCTTCTGCTAGAAGATTATTATTCACACTAGGTCACAATAGTAAGAATTCAGTGAAGGTTGAGTGAGAGGATGGGTGTGGATCAGTGAGGCAAATACTGGCTGAACTCTGCCTATCCTGGCTAATGCCACAGCAGGTCCAGTAGCTGAGGCTGACTGCTTTTTAACATTCCTTCAGGAACATATCAATTTGTCCATCAGACAAGTTTACACCAAACCATTAAGGGAAGCAGGAAAGCATAAGCAATTCTGTCACTGCAAAACTGACTTGGTAGAATTTTGATAGGGAAATCTAAGATTTTCAGCTTAGTCTGTGCTAAGTAGTAACCAATTCAGAAACTTGCTTCCTGGTATCATCTTTTGGCTTGTGCTCTTTCAAGAGCTCTGTTGATTCTTGGAGAGAATGTGGCAAGAATGCCAAAATCTCCATCACAAAACAGCCCTGCTGTCCCAGACACCCTCCCCAACAAAGGGCTGAACACCAGACTGGGTGAGGTAGCCAAATTCAGCAGCAAGGGAAACCACAGCTCATTTCCTTAGCCAATATGGTGCCAAAAGGAAAATTCTGTGGGTTTAGTAAGCAAGAGATAATTTACCAACCATATAAAAGCTGGAAAAATGTAATAAAATAGTAGCTTTCTCATCTTAGCCAACTAAAACCCTTAAAACCATTCCCATATATTTAACCTGAAGTATTGTTTGTGGTTTGCAACCCTTTAAAACAGTCCAAAGCTTGTAAAGATTAAGAAGTGGAAAAGAATCCCCAAGGTTATAAAACTTTTTGGACTATATCAAGCTCTGATGAATTCTGTTACCTTCTGGTCCTCTGTCCTGAAGCAATTCTTAACGTAGTTGGCAAATTTGGGCTCCAGCTTAGGAAGGGTAGTACCCTATTTGGAAAAAAAAAAAACAAGCTTTAGGGTCTGCAGATCACTTAATGCTTTCAACATATGATGCTGAAAACCCTTTGCAATACATGGAGTTTGAACTCACCTGGCAACTTCCCACACTAGTCTGCTTTAAACCATTTTAGGAAGTTTGTTTTTCTACCATGCCCAGCTATTTCTGACAGACGTGGCTACAAACTGAATCGATGTCCAAGATTCTTTGCTGATGCTGAAGAGCCTAACAGTGTTCACCACTTCAAATCATTGTTTGTAGTAAACAGTCCCATGCGACTCAGATAAATTACAATTAATTCTTTATTTATGGACTCTTACTGCAACACACAACCTGAGGCCACCCTTCACAGGCAGATTTTTAACTTCAGCTCTCTAAAGCAAAACATGAACTTGACCTCCCATCTATCTTTTAAAACTCACTAATACACTACTCATTAATATGTGACTTTTATTAATTTAAAGAACTGTTCTAGAAACATTTCCTTGTAATCCCCGCAATTGTGTTTGCACATGCTCAAAGGTACAACATAGATTCAGTTATAAATCATACATACAGGGTTATCATCTTGTCTCCTAGTATCTCCAGGGAAAATAATACAGCATGCTATTTTAGGAGACACTGGTTTCCTTTCCTATGTCCCAAAAGAAATACTTTCCAATTTCCCAGGTGAATCAGTTGAAATATTGCATGTCAATTAGGACAGCACACTTAGCTGCTCCCTGCTAGACAGCACTTACCAGCAGCAGCACTATTCAGCACCAGGTAATGTATTTTAAAGCTCTTTTTGCCAGTTATCTGCTCTGCATGCTTCCCTCTGCACGAGTCTACTGTCTGCCCCCATGTCTACTGTGAGCAGCTCACGCACTTGTGCTCACACTGCAGAAGTACCACTGATCTCCTGAGTCATTCCCAACACCACAGAAGCTTCCTGGGTTACTGTGACCCACCAGGATGGGCCCATCCATCACGCCAGGCTCACAGGCCAGGGCTCTGCATTTCCATCCTCATCACAGCCTGTCATTGCTCATTCTGCATCCACCCTGTATTTAAACACTTCTGGTCTGATTTTGCATTCCTGGAAAAAAGCAGCCCCAAAACACTAATGGATCTAAGCAGAAGATGATCCTAATTCTTTAGGTGGCCTTTGTTTGCCATTTTATGGGTTTAAGAAATGTATTATCTTGAATTAAAAAACCCCATCAGCAAACCAACAATGCTTCCTAGCACTCACATCAGCACTTGTGAGCCAGCCAAGTGCAGCCACAGGCAGGCCCTCACTTCTATCTGCTCCAAGCACAGGGATATTCAGAACACAGCCCTTGCTGGCACATGCACTTCAACCCTGGCTCAGGAGGTGAAGAATCACCTGCTATGCCCAACCAGCCTGCAACCCGATTTTCTATTTTATACTTAAATAGCTGCTAAGAACACTACTGACATGTGTGACCACCAAGTGCTGGTCAAGCCTGGCAACAACCGGAGCAAGTGACTGGCCTGACACCTTAAAAGGGTGAAGCATCCACTGAAGGGAGACTCAAGCCCAGATCCCTCCAAAAAGCAAAAGCTTTCAGGTCTGCAGCAGTGCTTAAACTCATACCACAAGCACCTATCTCCCTCTTCTGGAAGTTACTGAGCCTTACAAGCATCAGGATATACTGTTTCAAGACCAAGGCATTCCAATCACGTGAAGAACTCCACTTGACTTAAATAGTGCATATACAGTTTGGGTTACTAAAGTAATCCTAACAGTAAGTATAGCCTAAATGGGTTTTTTAATTTGAACAGAGACAGTTCACCAAGAAATACCAAACTGCTAATCAGCACTACTGGAAAAATACAAACAAAGTGGTTTTGTTTCTCATGAGTAGAGGCTTTTCCCTGCAAATGTGTTTTCATTTCTCTGAGCTTCAACATCAACACCCACTCATAGTAACAGCACAGGAATCAGCAACATCATAACCATTTATTGACACATCCAATTCTTCTTATCTGTGGAAGTGTAAAAGAAAGGCTGAGAAACTTCATTCCCAAACACTCACCTTATCTACAGATGCTTGCATTTTTGCTTTTATCTCCTCTAATGACAGAGGGACTTTTGGTGTTTTTGGAGTTAGAGTTTTATCCTTCTTGGAATCTGGAGTCTGAAAATTATTTCATTAGTAACTTGCACATAAAGTTACAGAGAATATAAGATACATTTTACAAAACTAGCTATCACACTGATAGTCCATACAGTTTTCAGACAGTCACAAAACCTAAATTTATGCTTCCCTCACATTCCTTAGAAGCATGAAAAATAACCATTTTCAAATCTGAGTTATTAGAGATAGCATAGCTGGTGTCTCATGCTTCTGGGCAGGTGCCTCCACAGCTCTTTGAATAGAAATTAAACCAAAAATAGCCAAAATTTTTAGTGATTCAGAGTTTACTCCACATCTGTAGCCAGATTAGGTCATGCTTTAAAAGGTACACCTGCAGTGCTTCTCAAATGCTGTCCTGGCAAGCATCCCATGCTCATATCTGTATGAACCTTCCTGGCATTATCTGAGTACATGCAGCAAGGAGAAGCTGTACAAGGAATCAGGACACAATCACACAGCATTAACAAGGAAGGAAACTGCCAGTCCTGCAGTGGGTCATTGTCATGAGAGTCCCTTTTCCTGTTTCCACTGGAAAACAGCCTCCAGTGTTCTCCAGTGGAAACACACTTGGCAGTCACCCTCTTGTACCAGGTGCTGCACAAAACCAATAGATTTAGTGTTTCCAACTAAAGAATTACCAGTATTCCCAAAAGACAGTATGTCTGATTTCAGATCCTGACTGTTGTAGGTACATACTGATCACTGAAGAGTTTCACAGAAAACATGAAGCAGTGAACAGTACCTTCAACATGCTTCATATCAAGATCTGAAAACCTAATTTGAATGTTAGTATGTTGTTTGAAGTTACCATTAGGCAAGAAACTAGCTTCCCCAATAGAATAAACCTTAGTTTTACTCAGTTGTTTTCACTCACTTTTGATTTAGATGCTGGTGTGGATGGCTTAGAATCTTTTCCATTCTGCTTTGCTTTCTGCATATTTTTTCCTGCAACCTCACGAACAGGCTGAAAAGCAAGCACACAAGTTCATTTGTCAAATGAACTGCAAGTAGACTCAAGATAGCATGTTACAGGAACCCAAAGGAAAACCTCTTCGTGCAGAACAGTAACACACCCAAGAACAAGTTCTGTTACATCATTCAGTGCTGTCTTTTTTCTGAAACACAACCGTTATCTTATTTGGCATTTCATCCAGAAATATTGTCTGGGATGTGCATGGGACATGATACCACATGCCTATCTAAGACACAGAGTCTAAAATTCCTGTATCAATCAAGTGACCATTTTGTTTAGTCACCCCAGATCACATCAGATGGCTGGAATCTGTGTTTCAGACTTATTACCAGGCCACTGTGCACTATCATTTATGGCAATTCAGTAGGGACAGAACAGCACATTGTGAAGTAAAACTATAAATCTCTGTTTTTAAACAGTAGGCATGAACATAAAAATTCAAGCTGAAGTACACAAGTGTGAGAAAAAGAAAAAAAAAAAGAAAAAAAAGCTGTCCTGCCGGCGCAGCTGCCCTGCAGCACGTCCACAGCACCACCAGATGGCCCTCGAGGGCCGAAGGAACAGCACCTCCCGGCACGTCCCTGCCTCAGTGAACCCTGCCAGAGGCTCACATTTAAAGCCTTTTGCATCAGAAGTCGCTGAAAACTCCTTTCCACAGCATGCAGGACTAGAACTGCGAAGCACAACCCCCTTTGAGCAGGATTTCATTTGCTGTTTAACAGCTATCCAGGCCCACACCGTCTGACAGCTGCATTCCTGTGCTGGTAAGACCCAGTCACCCCTTTGCAGCCAAGGAAATAGAACATGGACTGGATGGGTGCACATTCACACTGAAGTGCTTTCTTCACACAGGCTGACCTAAACCTAGTGCATCCCCCATTCACACAATCCAGAGAGCTGTGATAAAACTCATTGATTTAAGGGACTACCTGCTGGATTACTATCGTATCACAGGATTAGCCACTTACTTTCTTTATTGGTGCTTTAATTTCTTCCTCATCATCCTCTAAGTCATCCTCATCACTACAATTAAAAAGGAAGTCACTCACCATAACTCAAGATCCACGTTAGGAATTGATCTTCCCCCTCCCTCCCTCCCAATAAAATGTTTTATTCATGAAAGAAGCAAGCAATCTTTTCAAATTTACTTTATACCGTAACACATGGCTAAGTGCTAGGGCAAGCATTACCTCTGAAGCAGTTAAATGCACTCCCTTCCCTTCAATACTGAAGGGACATTTCCTAGGGACTTCCACTACTACTTCTAGAAGTTAGTGAGTAACAGGAAGCCCAGTATAACATATCTGAAGAACATTAATTTACATAGCATTGTAGAGATAAGTAAGACAAGGATGCCTTTTCCCCAGTCAAGATACAGGAGCTTTTTCACTTAGCATCCAGTTGTGTCACACAATTCATGTTCTGAAAGTTAGCCCTTTATTTTAAAACACATTATCAAAACAGGAATACATACTCATCATCGTCATCCTCATCTTCATCGTCATCCTCATCATCTTCTGCTAATTTTGGTTTTTTCTTTAAGAAAGAAAGTCTGTTAAGTGTTGATACCATTTTTTGGTAATAAAGAGCAACTGCCATACAAAACAACTACGGCACAAGTACAAGGCTACTTTCAATCAATTTAGCTAAACCCAGGAACTTACAGCTGCCAAGCCCAAAGCTATTGACTAGTTAAGTGCATATGCTCTGAGCCTAGGAACCTTAACCTTTCCTCGTTAGGAAAGTCCAGTGCTTTAATCAGCATCAACTCTTACAGTACACTGATGTTTATACCAGAACCTGCTGTCACTACAGGAGACAGAATTTTCACAAAAGTAGCCAGTCTTAACTATCCCTTCAGCAAAGTTTTGGGACCTTCTGCAATTTAGTACAAAATAATCATGTCCCACTTATAATAGCAAGGCATCTAACTATCCTAGAGGCAGCACTAATACCAAACTAGAAGAAAATGCTTCGAACAAAGTAACTGCAAGTCCATATACCTGTGGTGTTTTAGCTCCTCCTCCACTTGCTGGTCTCTTTGTTGAAGCATTAACAATTTTTGCATCATCTTCCTCCTCATCTGATTCTGGTTCTTCTTCTAATGCTGATAAAGCAAAGGCAAAGTGTAAAAACCTCACTTCACTTAACAATATAAAGCAAGACTGCTAGTAAGAAACAAAGAGCATTACCCACAACTGAGTAGGTTTGGTCTGGCTGAGGTGCTGAATTGATATCAGGAAGCTTCCCACTAGTGACTTAACCACTGACTAGGAGGTTTTCCACCTGACTGAAGCAGGTACTACTACAAGGAAATCCCAATCAGGTGAACTACCACCCCTCACACCGGTCACAATGCTTTTCACACACAACACAAAGTCAAAAATAATGTTTTGTCCAATCCTAAGGAGACACTTTTGTAAACTAGTAGAGAAAGATCAAAGACAATTTCTTAAAGGAGAAGACTAGTCCTGGGTTAGTTTAGTTAAAGACCAGAACTATTTCATGGGCAGTCTTCTCATACCTACAGTGGGACAACAAGGTCCACTTCTAAGGGAGAAATTAGAACTGAAATTCCAGGGATGACAAATGCCCCTTATCCATACAAAAACCAAGTAGCAAGCAAAGGCATGCAAGCACTTCTCCCAGCTTCTGCCCTACAGCCCCTTTCTGCTGAGGATGTGCCTTTAAGATTCAGAGGGTCATTATCAGCAAAAGCACTGCTTGCAGCACCAGCTGCACATCCTTTAGTTCTGCAGGTGCTGCCAGGTGCCAGGACACAGCAGTGAGCAGCCATACATACCTACGAGGTGCTGACCACTGACGTAAACAGGCCCTGAACCACATTTCAACCTCAACACCACTGGTGGTGTGATCTCGAAGCCACCCAAGGAAACCTGTGAGACAAAGCATTGGTAGTCAGTTGCATATTCCAGGCAAAGTGTATTTAACAGACATTCCACCCCAGTGGAAACGAGCATTAACAGCTGGAGACTCCATGGCTAACAGCTACTCCAAGTTCCCTTTCAAAGGAGTGTTCTGCAAGTGTTAAAAGGTCAACTCAGTGTCAATAAGCCACACACAGGGGTTTACGACACTTGTTGCTTATCCCAGTTAAAGCACCCCAAGGCCAGAAAAATACACATTTGTTTCTACTCCACTTGGCAGCAATGTCGATTTGAACATCATCCATCCCACCTGCCCCAGCATTTTGTCGTTGTACACTATCAGCAGCTGAGTCAAACTACATTCCAGATAGCAGAAATGACAACAAGGCGCCCTTCAATCAGAGAGGAGCAATCATCTTCAGAGTGGCATTAGAGCTTGGGACCTGCAGAAAAGATGACTTGTTCCCATCCCAGGTTTAAAGAAAGCAACACAACCTGAAGATGCATCTGCTTGCATATGCCTGGACCTGTCTGTCTATAGATGGCATGAATAATTACGGTCGCTTAAAAATGTGTAATTTGAACATGTCTGTTATCTCCACATGACTCAAGTACTCTTCTAGACACAAAAAAGATGTATTTACTTCATGCAGTACAGCTGCATGAACAACTGAACACACTGTTCAGTTTCACTAAAATTCAGTTGACTCAAGCCTTTTTTAACTTTTTTCTTACTAGACACCATATTTACAGTAGATTCTCTAAGTTTTTGCACTTACTGTAGGCTGCACTGACATTTTCAGAGATGCCAATACTACTTTAGTAGGGTTGCCTTCATAGTCCAGTGCTTCTGCTTCTACAATGTGTAATTCATCTTTGGCTCCAGCTCCTAAAGTAACCTGTGAAGTCAAGAACAGGACACTGTCTGAGCATCCTAAATATTTTTAAATCTTCTAAACTCCATTCACTGTTCTGCATCATTAAATACTGAAATTTGCATTTCTGACTACAAATTATTCCATCAGACTCCATCCTAAGCTGACACCCTTTCTCCACAACACTGAAACTTTCAAGGGGTACCTCCAGGCATGTTCTGATGACAATGAAATCAGGTCACTTGCTGCTGGATCACTGCACCAAAAAGAGGCAGTGGCAAGTTTAGTCAGCTCTACAGCTGGTCCAAGGAGAGAAGTATGAACACATTATCTCCTCTACAGAATCACACCTATAGCTTTCCCCCTCCTGCCACATTTTATCTGCCAACTGCTCCTCTTCACCACACTGTGCACCTTTTGCTTATTTGACATTCACTTAGGACTCTAACAGCAGCTTAGTTGAATACTGTGATTTATGCACATGCCTTTTGCTGTAATTCACCACGGACTAGGAACTGCTGTCCCAAGGCATTTCTAAATTGAAGTACCTGGATCCCTTACTGAATCTGGCACTTTCTGAAGAGTCAAAACTCTGTAGGGAGATGAGTGACAGACAGTGGTCAGGCCTGAAACTCCCGTTCACTGAACTTTGGGCCCCTCAAACAGGAGTACATGCAGAAGATGTGAAAACCACAAATCTTTCAGACTACAACTCTTCCCAACAGCAGTGCACAAGGTTTTGTGCTTCCTTCCCTAATCCCCAAACAAAGAAAGCTTTCCAACCCCCCCCCACCCGGGAGATGTGGGTGTGTTTCTATTCTTCAAGAGATGAAAAGCTTTAATGAGGCTGTAATAGTCCACACTTAAGATGTATCAGACTGAAGGCTGGAAAATAGAACACTGGATTCACTACTTCTGGCAAATTTTGTTATTAGCAATTCAGAGAGGTGAAATTGCAGCTCTGATCTCACCTCTCTAATGTGTTGTCAACAACACTGAATTGCTCAGCTAGTGGAACTAAAATTTTAGACCATGTCCTGTCATTTGCCCCAGTTCAATACTATAGCACTATTTATTTAATTCTCATATGTTTGTCAAGCATCCATGCATGTGCTTTAATTTCTACATTGAAGGAATGCACACCAAATAGGTCATGAAGCAGTGACCATCCCTGTTCTTAGCTGCCATTAGTAAGACATTTACAGAAATTCATGGCACTTTTACCTCCTGCATCTATCCTCTTTTTTCCTTTTTACTCCCTTTCTCCCCATCTTGCTGTACCTCATGCCCAAGTCCACCACCACACTTGGTGGTGTAAAGATAGACATCTGGGAGCATAGACCAGCCCCCAGGTATTTGCTGCCTTTACACCTTTTCTTTAAATCCTTCCTCTTCTCAATAAGGTCTTTTTTGTTTCAACCATGTCCCACACCTTTTAAGTCTTAAAGTCTCTTATGTATTTCCTAGTTTGTCCTTTGGTACGTTAATCCTATTTCTCCTGTGCATCACCCCTTTTAATTCTATGAGAACAGGTTACTGACATTAAGACTTCATTCCCCCCACAAGCCTAACAACAAAATAGTGGTGTGGATTTTTACTTCATCCCTCAGAGTACATCAGAAGACAAGCTACAGTTAATTTAGAAAATATAATTAGAAAAAGAACTTTGAGTAAAACAATGCAATTAAAGTATCACTAATTTTAACTGCATAACAAACATTCAGACAGAAGAAATCTGCATGTGGACTTGCCCTAAACATTGCTATTCTCCTCTATCAAAAGGAATTGCATTTAAGAACGAATTACTCGTTGTCAAGTCCAGGTGGTAGTTTTCATAATATACAAGGACGAAAAACACATGATTCACAGAGCTAACACAGAAGTGTTTCAAGTAACAGCATGAAATGTTTGGAGATACTTGTTATGCAAGGTACCTCCAGGAAGCAATTCTCCTGTAGGAATTAGTCCACAGTTTAAAGACTCTCTTGCTTCCAGGTATCAAAACATTTCCATGCATATAAATAAACACAGCAATATGCCATAAAGATGCTACAACTCTTTAATTTCTTGTCTGTTAGGATGGGGCACATTACTGTTTTGCTATTCAAAAAAACCATGCTCAGTCGAGAACAAAAACCTTGAAATATTACGTCTAACTTGTGTGGCACCAGAAAGCCCTAAGGACCCATCCAAGAACTCCCTGGGAGTCTGTCAGATGAATTATCTGAATGAAAGATAGGGTTTCCCAGTTACATCCTTGGAGAGGGCAAACCAAGGACAATAAATCAAAAGATAAACTTTCTGTTCTCTTATTTGGATTTACTTATTATCTGCTTCTAGGAAAGAAAAAGAACCCTACCTATGTTTGTGAACACACAAATGATTCTTAAAAATCAACTTTCTAGTAATCTACAAGAGAGTGCCTATGTATGACTCTTACAAGTCTATCCTTCCCCTTCTGCTCCTGTAGTACCTGCACTCGTTTGCCTTAGGGATGCCTCAGTGTATAGTCTTTAATTCCATTTAGCATATATTTATTAACCCACTCCAAGTTGATATTTAACCTTTTCCAGCCTTGCATTTGCTTGCTGTCTACAATGAAATATCAGTGGAGAAACGTTTTCAATACAGAAAATATCTGAAATTACAGAATATTCTCCACTGCCAGTAAGAGGTGGTTATTTTAAACAGATTTATGTAACAATTATCGTCTGTATTATAACTGGAGAAATAAACGACACGTAAAAAAACCAACATCACAGCACAGCACTACATTTAAAATGGAAAACGTAAAAGCTAAATACTACTTGCCGTTCTCAGAGACAACTGATGTTCATTTTCTTCATCATCTACTTTAAACTGAAACTCTTTATCCGCTTTAAGCTCGCAGCCTGAAAGAAAACAGTTTAATTATAAGCTTACTGTTTTACTCAAGACACAAGTATTTGCTAACTAGTTACTTGGCAGCTTGCTGCTTCCAGGCCTCATACTTGCAGGGAACTAGCGGCACACTCCAAGCACGCACGGAGCGGAACACGTGGGGAGAGGAAACCCCCAGGCGAGCGCGGCCTGCTGCCGACCACGCAGCTCCCCGCGCGGCCCGTTCGAGCGCAGCAGTTTTAAGACCATCCCCGCCCAGCGTCCGCCGCAGTGCCCGGGGCGATGGCAGCTCCGCACCTGCCCGCCGTGGACGGCCAGGCCTCCCCCGGAGCGATGGGCAGCACGGCGCGCGCGGCCGCGGCGCTCCACGTGCTCCGCCTCCGGCCGCGCTGCCACGTGCTCCACGGGCGCTGCCGGGGCGCCGCGTCCTTAGGAACGGCGGGAGGCACCGGGAACAAAGCGCGGAACAAAGCGGGACGGGCCCCGCCACGTGCGGGCCGCGCGCCACGTGGGGAGCGCGCGGGAACGGCCGCTGCGCGCCCCCGGTCCCGAGAGAGCCCCCCCGCCCCTTCCCCGCGCGCGGAGGGGCGGCGCTCGGCCGGCACAGGCCGCGGCCCTGCACGGCACCCGCACGGCGCTCGGCCCCGGGGCCTGCGGGGGCGACGGGGCCAGCGGGCCCCGGGAGAGCGTGGCGCGGCGGGCGTTACCGAAGAGGAAAGTCTGCGGGCGCAGTGGGCCCATGCTCTCCATGTCCATGGCGCTGTCCTCCATCGCGGGGCTGGGGCACGACTGAGTGAAGCTCCTGCGCTGCGGGCGGACGCGCACTAAAGGAAGCCCCGTGCCCGCCCACTCGCTGATATAGCCTCGTGCTCTCGCGAGAGCTGCGCGCCCGTCCCTCGGTCCCCCGCGCCGCCCCTGCGCACGCGCGCACGCTGACGGTGGTAGCGCGCGGGGCCGGGCGGGCCGCCAGGGGGCGTCGCGGGGCCGGGGCCGGGGCCGGGGCCGTGGAGAGGGGGCCGGGGCCGTGGAGAGGGGCCTGAGAGGGGGCCGGGCCCCGCGCCTCGCGCGGGCCCGGGACTGCCGCGATGGAGCCGGGGCCGCGGGAATCGCAGCGTTCCGCTCCTGGGCCGCATCACACGTGGGGCAGAGCCATGGGTGGGGATCGCAGCGTTCCGCTCCACGGCCGCGCTGCACGTGGGGACAGCGATGCGGGGCGCGGCCACAGCCCCGGGCCTGGCACAGGGCTTGCAGCCCTAGCAGCCCGAGGGGCTCCGCTGGCCGGAGAGCCGTGCTGCAATGGAACGTGCCCTCCTCGCTCTGTGACGGGAGCTGGTTGTTGATGTCATCTTTCGCTAAAATAATAAATGAACGAAAGCAGCTCCCTTTCTCTGCATTACCCGTTAGGATGAGCACCCACCCCGAGCTACTGCTCCCTGTGCCACTGGCTCTGTTGCCAGGGACAACAGCATTGTGGGAACCTCCTTTTCAGCTGGCGTGCGATGGGAGCAAATCACTTTTTAATGTGAATTGGCACACGGGGAAATCTGTCACAACAAAGCTTAAAGTCACAGGGTTATGTGATACTGTAGAGCTACCAGTCCTGGAAAGACTTGTTTGCCTAAGCGGTGGGAGCCCATCGGTGGCCCTGGGCTGGGCTCACCATCCACACATTCCAGGCCATGGTGTCCCGGGGCTGATCTGCACCAGTCAGGTCCCTTGTGTGCTAATCTCACACTTACCTGAACACTTACTCTGCAAAAATACAAGCGTATAGGCTCTTGGTACACTTATCTCTCCACTGATTTGAAATGTGTAACTGGTAGTCATGTTACCTTCATTCACATTCACAAGGGAACAACATTAAATGGTGTTGCTGAAAATGAGACAAACTGAAGAATAACTGTCACAATGGGAAAATGAAACTTACCCTGTCAAAGATTCCTCTTCCTCACTCTTCCATGAAGCTGGCCCCTTTGCAAACAGCAAATGCAGTTCCACAGGATACACATGGTTTCATCAGGATATGATCCCCTACCGTCCTCTTAACTTTAGAGCAGGTTGTCCAGTGAGGTGTTTCAGGTGGGGTGCCACAGGCTGACTAAAATTCAGTAAGAGTTAAATTGTGTGTGAAAACAAGGTACAGAAATAAATTAAATCGCAGCTTAGCATATGAGTGAGGATGGATATTCTGTGATTCTGTGATTTACTCCCCTTAAAGTCTCACAAGGAACCAATGAACAAACAGTGTTTATTTCATTTTCTAACATTTGGTTTGGTTAATTTCTTATTATCTTTACAAAGTAATTACTGCTGAGGGTGGCCCTTAGGGTAGGAAGAGTGGCAACTATGTGAAGATACACCCAGGGGTCTGTGGAGCAGCAGAGGCAGAAATCCCACCAAGTGCAGTTGCTGGTGTCCCTGGCAGAGAGAGGCATCATTAACTGATCAGACACCTCAGCCTCAAAAGCTGCAAAAATGCAAATGAGGCATTTGTTTGGGTTGGATTGAAAATGGGAACTAGTATCAAAATTTCAAATGAAGTTATGGCATGACCCAGATGTCAGACAGGAGCTGGAAGGCAAATCCTACACAGTAATAGTGGAAGGGAGTGAATTACATTTACCTGTAATGCCAACAGGAGGACATGGCTGCTGGTCAAACCTGCCCAAAGCCCTGCCCCCAGGGCACTGAGCAGCTCACAAACTGCAGCTCCAGAATACACCCCGGTGGATTGGATCCTGCTGAAGGGAACAGTGCAACCACAGCATGTCCTGTGTGCAGAGTCACTTTTAATACAATTACAGTCTTCCATTATGGAGGAAATAAATGTGGGAGGAAACAAAGGACAGACACAGAGAAGCAAAACAGGGGTAGGAAGTAGGAGATATATGCTTACTGCGTCTCATTTGGCTCCATAGGGCTTTAGAAGGGCTGTCATATATCATGACATTTATTATTTCTGCCATGGTACTAGGATGTGAAGTCCATTATAATATCGATCATTTTACTTTGCTCGGCTCTGTGCTGTGTAATACTCAGCATGGCAGAAAAGGCTTACAAGTGATTTAGAAACAGCCATACAGGGACAACTAGGGGAAAATCAGAGCTTCCCTTAATGGAATTCTCTTTTTAGTGAGCTTTTACAAAACTTAGGAAATTGTATTTTAAGCATGGTTAAAACCACAGCGCAGTTGTAGCCAAATAATCAGAAGCTATAGAGACAGTAGAGATTTCCTATGCAACCTTAATTTACATTCTGGCATAATGAAATAATCTTCAGCTGCCCTGTCCCATGGCCGTCACATAACCTCTCCACCAGGCTCCTCCTCCCTTCACTAGCCAACAGTTTCTGTCCCAGTGAACTAAGGGCCAAAATCTTAGCTGGCATCAAAACACCCTTCTTGATGTCAAAAAAAGATCACTTGCACACCAGAAATTCCGAATATTTCACTTTAGCCTGAAATAACTGCATATTGCCATCCCCAGATAGGGCAGCAAGAGGCAGGTGTTAGCTGTCCTCACCCCCATGAGCTGGGGGTACCTGCAGGAGCAATGTGCTGGCTGGGCACTGTGCTGACAGCACAGACAGAGCACCCTACTAGGTGCCAGGTGAACACCCTGAACACAGGTGAGAGCTGCATCTCCTGGGGCTGCTTTGAGAGGGTTTTGCCTTGTGTTTGTAATTGCCCCTCACCTCCAGGCTGGTTTGCAGCCAGCTCAGGACAGGGAGCTGTGATGGAGGGACCATCCTTACCTGGTTGTCTTCTTTCTTACCCACAGTCTGCTTTTTGCTGCTGACCCTGCTGTAAGTGGCACTAGAAGTTTTCTTCATCTTCCCTCTTTCTGTAGTGCCTGTTCTATCCCCAGCTTCTCCTGTAGCATATTATTCATGCAGAGCAGCATAAAGAGCTGCATCAGAAGGTCCTTCAGCACCAAAGAATGCTGCATAAGGGGAGCAGAGGGAGGCTGGTGACCCAGCTTCTGCTTATAGCAGCACAAGCTGGTGCTGCTCCATCTCTTCTATAGTTTTGCATAGACCTTTCAGGGGATCCTTCTCCTATTAGGGCCCAATGTCAGAAATACAGCTGGGGAATGGGAGGAAAAGGGAGGAATGACAGGTGAGCCAGGATGTCCACAGGGGAGTCACTCAGGTATTGCAGTGATGAAAAGAAGTAAGGTTACACAGATAGATTACAGGTGTCAGTGTCCCAGTGTCCACAGCAGTAAAAATTGAGATAGCCTGAAATTTATCTCTCTCTGTTTTTTTTGTTTTGTTTTGTTTTTGTTGTTTGGTTTTTTTTGTTTTTGTTTGTTTGTTTGTTTGTTTTTTCTTTAAATATTCAGTACAGAATAGCCTCTGGGTCCTGGCCAGTTGGCCATGACCCTTCCTGGCTACTGCAAAAATTACCCTGTCCTGACTGAAACTGGGTGAAAAGCCAGGATACTTTAAAACTTTCTGTGTCCTGCAGGTCCCAAAGGTGAGGCCACCTCCCAGTAGGAGCAGTAGAAGTTTGGAGTAGGTGGTGCTGACACGGGTCAGGAAGGGGGTGGCAGCAAAGAGCTCCATCAGCCCTGTGTGTGTAAGGCTGGTGAGGCAGAGTGCACCTAGCGTCCTCCCCCAGCCATGCCAGATGCCCTTGTCCCATGAGCCACGACTGCCCCTGCAATATCATTTGCTGCTGTGTACTGATATATACCTGCTGCCAGCCCATGGCACTGCTCTGCTTGTTACACCCCATGAGCTCAATCCCAAAATTATGTTCTGCATCACTGCCAGGGTACATGAGTTCTGCTGACCACCCACAGGCAGCCAGGACTGTGGAGATAGGAGACAACACCTGGTACTCCACATCAAAGTAGCCTGTTCTGGTGGTCCCTTTTCACATCTACTCCTACAGCAGCACAAGCTTTGAAATATTGTCCCTGTGCCCCATGGTTCCTGCAGGGTCTAGAAAAGCAGACATAAGGCCACGGAGTGGGGCACAGCACACTCGTGTCCAGTTCCTGATTTTCCTGTGTTTGTTATGCTCCATTTCCACAGCTTCACTGCCAGGGCCTGAGGGGCAGGTCCATTTGGTGTCTGAGTAACACGCAGGATGCTGTTAGTCAACCATAACTTTGTGAGGATGCTCTGGCTCTAAGTGCAGGAAAGATGTTCCCTCATCTCAGCACTGTCAGTTCCCATTTCAAGGTCGACAGCACCATCTAGTGATCCCTAATCAGCTTCCTACATGGCTGCCTGCCTTCTCTCAAGTTTTATCCATGCCCCAGGTGTGCCAGGTGGGCTTTGCCTGTCTATGCCTGCCTACTACACCCTTCCTGCTAGAGGGTTGTTTACTGGGAGGTCTTGCATGGGGAGGCTGATTGCCCTTGGCCACAGTCACGGACCTGAGAGATGGGATGGCCGGATCCAAACTAAATCCCCGGCCAGAAAACATGGCAGAGCTGTGTTCCAGACCCCATCTGGCTCAGTGAGAATCTTTCCTGCCCTCCTGGGCAGATTCCACATTTAAAATAAATCTGCCCAGGGAAAGAAAATAATCCCTCTCATTCTTCCCTTGGGTCTCTGCTACATTTGACCTCAGCCAACATGTTGTGTAAGGACCTCAAGCACACCAGTCAAAGGTGGCATTTTGTCTCCAGGGTCCCACTGGTATAGACAGTTCATAGCACAGATGTCAGGAGAGTCAAAAGCTTGGCCAACGTTATTTCTGATCTCTCAACTTAGAGCACAGGCAGACAGGCAGCTCCACACCTCCAAAGTGCAGCGGGCCCTTCTGTTCTTTTCCCATTACACCCCCTGCAAAATACCCTACCAAAAAAAA